GTACCAAGAATGCGATGTCTTGTAGCGCAGCGCTCAGATAGACAATCTAGAATAATTGGTTACTGTATAAGAACTCTTGGTACCAAACTTACCTCTCCAACACCAATGCTAAATCCTCATTCGAGTTGGGACAATGACCAACTTTACACCCTTCACACAGTTCACTATCGTGCGGTCCTCTGCTTTGACCAGAAAAACTGGGCCGCTCTACCTCAATTCCATTCCATTTTTTGAGCCAGTATGTCACTCTTTCCGCATAGCACTCGGTATCCAGGATTAGCCGACCAACTGCTCTGCAGTTTCTGCATCGCTGGTGATACAGTCGTGCATTATATCGCTGTCGGGGGTACATGCGAATTGTAATCGCGACTTTTTTGCTCGACCAACCGCTGGAGTAACATCCGCTGTTTTGGCAAATAAATCGACCCATAACGTTTGTGTCCCATTCTTCAATATTGGTTTCCTCATTATCGGCGTCAAAGAAGCCTATTTGAAGCCCTTCCTCGTCTAATAACCGTGCTACGTCGTCATGAAGCTTTGGGTGGAGCGACCACAATTTCGCAGCTTTGCGTCCCTTGCGTGGCATTTTGAACCTGGGTGTCGGTTGCGGAGTTTAATATGTTAATGATATCAAAAGCTTGGGCTGAGGACTCGGAATATGATCGGAATATGGCTTTGGATGGGCTTAAGAACACTTTTCTGGGAGAAAGGCTACCCCGCTTCAAAGCAGCAGCTGTACCTCTGAGGACAACGCATCGCTGCCACAGCACGAGTTGATAGGTAGATATGTTTCATGTGGTGTAACACGACGCTAAACGCACAGCTGAGATAAGAATAAAAACAAGGGAATGCCCTGTAAACAACAACTGGATGAGCAACTACTTCATTCGTGGAGATTCCGCAGATATAAGCTAGAGAGCGCAGCCTACAAACCATGTACGAATGACCGATCTGGCCGGGGCTAGGATAGAAGCAAGTCTGATATTGGCTCTTGCGATAGTTCACGGTGGTCACCAAGCCGTTAGGTAATATTTTGTCGCACTGCGCGCTAAGGCAGAGCCGTACCACCAAGCGGCCGATAACTGTAGGCGTAAGGAGTTTGGTATCTCTGAACCAAAAACCGCTACGCTGTACCCTTGGTCTTCCCCTCCGAGCTTCGGCAACTTCACCCTATCGTCCTGAAATTTATCGGGGCCTTTCGCTAGACGGCCTACAGTACCTTCTCCTTACAATGGGTCACTACTCCAAGTCCTTGAATGAATCTCTTTGATTATCTTTCCATAGTGAACCAATTAAATTCACATTCCGATAGCTCTTACTACTGCATGTAAGATACAATTACCAGTTGGGAAAGCGGTCTGAAAGGCGCGGTCTTTGTTTCATCTCCAATCAGAACTCACGACCTTCGGATCTATTTTCCGGGAATCAAGTCACAAAAGTGCTGAGGTATAGCTGATTTCGAATACTACTGTACTAGTTGATACGTTCAAAGCCCTGGTCAATAGAAAGAAAAATGAAATTTTGCAATCAGTTTGAGGTCGAATGCACCAGTCTAATTACGGATTGAAATAGAAAGACGTGCAAATACCTTACCTAAGATATTGTATGGCCAGGCAAGACGAATGTATCTCCTAACTGAAGGTCTTACGATATTTATTCCTTCAAGCTTCACTTGTTCGCTTCTCATTCTTATGTCAACAAAACAAATTGCACAGCAAAGAAAGAATACACGAGTATCTGTGTGAAAGCACTTGGCCTAATCTCTCACCGCAGTGCATAATAGCTGCCCTCAGTATGACCATCATCTGATGTGCGAACTATTCTTGTACAAGATCAGCTCCATGACATCGGGAGCCTTAGATACGAGGGCGAACGTATCGGAGTAGGCATGTATAAGTCAAAACCCAAATCCAGGCCCCCTTGATACCTCTCAATTTGACTTCCTTCGCGCCCATCTCTCTTAGGTAAGCTTCAGTGGCCGCTAAGCTTGTTATTCTAGGGTTTGCGGCATGTAACAGCCATGTCAAGGGCGTACCACTCTCATAATCCAATGCATTGATGTTTGCTCCTTGCGCGAGTAGGATTTTTGCAACAGCCAATGACCCGTACTCAGCAGCCCAGGAGAGTGGTGTCCGCCCCCACTGGTCACGGGAATCCACATCTGGCTTACTCTGTAGGAGATATAGAAGGAGATTTGTGCAGTTCCCCATGGCAGCATAATGTAGGAGAGACCTCTTGTGGCAATCCCGTTTCTTGAAACGTCCTCGTGACTGAAGCGACGAATG